CCATTCCCTGATATGACAGTCCTTCAATTATTTCAGAAAAATCATCATATCCCTCTATCACTTTTTTTTTTCTTTTCTAGGCTAAATACTCCCAATTGGATATATAGTTTTAGTATATAGGGTAGAAAGAACAGCAAATTTAAAGTCCAAGTACTTGGGTTCAAATCCCAGTTCTGCCACAACTACCAGAGTGATCATAGTCACACTTAAACTCTCCAGACCTCAGTTTCCTCATCTGTAATAAATGACCCTGAGTTCCCTTCTCTATCATTCTATGATCCTTCATCAACTCCTATATGATATATTTTCCAAATTTTTCATCAGTCTGGTTTCCTTCCCCTGGCAACACTCCAGCTGGCTGGTGAGGAAAGGAGAAAGGAAAGAAGAAAGGAGAGGAGAGAACAAGAGAGGGGAGAGGATGAGAAGGGAGGAAAAGAAGAAAGGGAGGAAGGGAAGAAGGGAGGGAGGAAATGAGGAAAGGAAAGAAAAGGAATAGTGGGATGAAGAGAGAGGAGGAAAGAAAGAGAGAGGGAAGGAAGGGATGGGGAAAGGAAGGAAGGAAAGAAGAGATGGAGGAAAAGAAGGAAGGAAGAAAAGGAGAGAGAGGAGGAAGGAATGGAGGAGGGAAGGAATGAGGGAGGGAAAGAAAGAGAAAGAAAGGAAGGAGGGAGAAAGAAAGGGAATGAAGAAGAGATGAAGAGAGAAAGGGAGGGAGAGAAGGAAGGAAGGAAAAAAGGAAAAGAGGAGGAAAGGGGAATGGGAGGAAGGATTTATTAAGCACCTACTATGCGCTTAGTAAATAGTAAAGCTGCTATTTCCATTTGCTATTTACTATACTATTTATTATTTCTTAGTAAAGAGTAAAGTTTTCTAGGATTTTTTTTTTACTTGGCATTTATTGCCATTCATTCCTATTCTATCTCTGTCTGTCTGTCTGTGTCTGTCTGTCTCTCTCTCTCTGTCCCCCTTCATCTCTACCTCCCTCCTTCTACCTTTCCCTTTCCCTCACTCTCTTTTTAAAAAAAAATATATCTCTTCCTCTCACTACCCTGTGGACCATCTCTTGTAACAAAAAATAATAAAAGAAAGAGAAAAAAACAAAACAAAACAAGGGAAGTTCAGCAAAACTAGCCAACACATCTATGGAGTGTGACAGAATACAAAATGTTTCACACCCATAATCTCATGGTACTGGAAAAAGAAAAACAAAAGCGGTGTGTATGTGTGTGTGTGTGTGTGTGTGCGCGCGTATGTGTGAATTTTTTTCAGCTTTTTTTTTTTGCATATGCTATTTTTGAAGGGCTTAAAACTGCCCTCACCTGTTATGAACTAATCTTCACTTCATCTCTAACCAATATTCTTGCCCACTATTATTGCAAAGATCAAAGTTTTATTTCATTATTATTAATAGGTAAACTTAATAATGTATTCAGCATATTTTCTTTCTTTACGATTTCAGGAAACATCATCTGTCTCTGAATAATGTTATAGAAATACCCAGTCAACCATGTGACACTTTTTTCTGCCAAACTTCCCTTTTGGCATTTGACCAAACTTCATGATGCCCTTTAAATTTCTATGTCTTCCAACCTTAAATCTTCCCTTTCTTCCTCCTTTCTTTCCTTCTGCCTTCACTTAAAAGAAAGCTATTATTCTGAGAGCTTTACAAATGTTATCTCATTGATCCTCAATACTGCCCTGGGAGGTAGGAAGCTGGAGAATACAGGGATTAAGCAACTTGCCCAGAGTCAAACAGCTAGTGAGTATCTGATGCTGGTTTTTTAACTCAGGTCTTCCTGACTACAGGCCCAGAACTCTATCCACTGTGTCACCAGCTCTTTCATTTTATTTACAGGGGTTGTTCAGAACTGAACACAAAACTCCAAAGGTCTGACAAATGTAGATAATAGTGGGGTCAATGATGAAATTGATTTAACAAACAATAATACTTATACAATCAAGTAAATATGTTTTTTCCCTTTATAGGAGTCACTTTAGAATAGGGTAGGAGGATAGGGAACTAAAATAATATTATTCTAAGATTTTTGGAAAAAGATTTTCTTTTGAAATTGCCTTAGAGCCTATGACATACATTCTTTTTGTATAAAATAACTCATTTATATAATCACTTTTCAGTTTAAAAATACTTTTCTCACAAAAACCTTTAAGGCAGCTCATGCAAATATTAGTATACCCATCTTTCAGAAGTAAAAACAAAAACAAAAAAACCCAAACTAACAGAGAGGTTAGGTGACTTCTCAAGGTCACACAGCAGAGTCAAGGCTTGAACCAAATGTATAAAATCTCAATCCAATGTAATTTACCCTATACCTCTCCAAGCTACCTTTCCAAGTGTCCATCCTTAGACAGTAGATTAATAGATAAATCTCCCCCCCCCAGGAAAAGTTCATTTAGTCTCAAGACTGGTGTACTAAATGGATGAACAAGAAAGGGGTAATACTATTTTTTAAAAAAAAAAAGTCTTTCTAAATAATAATGAGATTGATAACCTTATGTGATTCACTAGTTAGCTCTGAAAGCAATTCAAAATTAAAGTGCCAAAACTATCTTCTGCAACTGAGACATCACTGAAATAACTATCTAGCTTTCAAGGCTAGAAAGAGAGATGATTTTGGACCTAATTTCTGGTATTAATTAATGGTACACCTCATATAGTCTTGGTGCCCCTTGAACATTCCCAGCTCTGTACAGTCTTGGGGACTTAAACCAATGAATCCCATTCAATCCAATCTCATAAGCATTTATTAAGTACTCATGGTATACAAGGCACTTCAATAAGCACTGAGGATACAGAACACAAAATGAGTAACAGACTCTACCCCAAAGAAGATCACTTTCTGTATGAAAGAAAACTGTTTCTTGCCAAATATGGCAACTCAGCTATCTTTAAATTGTGAAAGGGACCGGACTTGTATTTTCTTGGTATATGGGACTCCAAGATAAGAAATCTCCCTCTACTCATGCATGTTAGCACATTCTCTGCAACTCATATATGGTCTTAGAGAGTAGACTAGGACACTACAAAATTCAGTTAACTTGTCCAGGGTCATACAGCTATGTATCAGAGGTGGGGCAGAGTGTATAGAGAGGTAGCATGGGGGTAGAACTAAATTGAAAACTGACCTCAGAGCTAAAAGACTTGTGTTCAAATCCTGCCTCTGACACATCTTAAAGCATTTCACCAAAATTCAGCTCTTCACTGAAGACTGAACCCTGGAGACATCATGTGTCAACACATAAGATTTAGAAAGCATTTTCTTCATAACAATTCTTTGAGTAAAGTATCATCTTCTCCATTTTTACAAATGAGTAAATTGAAGCTCAAAGAATTTATCACTTGCTCAAGATCACAACTATTAAGCCTTTGGATCAGAATTTGAACCCAGGGCTCTCTCTGACATATACAGGTATGTATGTAAGGGTATGTTCATCCCCTTTATACATGGGTATAAACTCAACAATTCCTAGTAATCCATACTTCTGACAACTTTCTCTTCTGAAGTGTATCCCTAAGATTACCCCTATATGTTTATAATCTCTGCTCATCTGGTAGGCAAATATATGCATTTAATTTTAAATTTTGAAAAGTGTATTGAAATGTGAACCTTTACCCTTTCAGCTGATTTCAGAATTCCTGGGGCAGCAGGTATTTATTTCCTATTCCTAAAAGAAGCAGTTGCTGTGAAGCTACCATAACCAAGGCCAAACCAAGACAATAGGAAGATTTACTTATTTTCCTCTGAGCATTGGTCAGCTCCTCTGACAATCTCTTAATCACAAACAATCCTCCTTTCAGTGTCTTTTTCTAGAAAACAAACTTGCCTTCTTGAAGACTTTACTGCACAATTTCTAGTCTCTTCCTTATCAGGCTCCTTCCTCTCAAAAACAGTACACAATGAAAAAATACATTTTACAAAATAATTCTGGGATCACATATCTAAGGACATATTCTGTCTTTTGCCTTTGGGAAGGTAAGACTGTAAAAGTGGAAATGGTTCTTACTCTATTTTTAAGCCACAATCTCCAGCTCAATAATAAGATCCCAAACAGCTGTGGGCATGGTATTTTGGAGCTATCTCTGAATTTGGTTTGGGAGGGAAATTCACTGCATAGTACATCCACAATACATTCTTCAATTGGGTGCTTTGTCTTTGCACTATGAAAAAAACAGCTTTTGGTTTGGATCTTCCTATCCCCAAACTAAGGAAAGATTTCTAAAGCTATCACAATTAGAAGAAACAACATTTTTAAAACCCAGCTACTAAGGGGGAGGTGACTTTGAGAGAACTACTGGTTTCAATACATTGTGCTTAGGAAAAAGTTAAATTTAACACCACTGATGACTTTGCTAGAGATACTTCAAGTTTCTTTTCCTTTTAATTACATTAATGAGGGGCTGCCAACTTTGGATATTGCTTTGTTGTTAATAAGGGAAAATACTGCTTGTGCTTGTACCAAAACTCTGATGCTAAATGACAAGATGTGCTCTTAATTCTAAGGGCAATTTTTGATCTGATTTTAAACTTGTTCTATTAATAAAGTTGAGCGATCAAAGAGTGATTATAAAACTCCCATTCTTAGCTTAAAAGGATCCAAACTCTATTGCCACTTTCAGGAAGGTTTTAAGACTATTCCACTTTATATTTGGGATCATTTCACAATATGTTGTCCTAAAAACTTGACAAAGCATGTGCCTGGGCTGGAGAAGCACCAGCAAAGAAAGAAGGGGTCTATCAGTACTAGTCCTTTTAAATAAAATATATCTTCTTCAATACCTTCTCTTTTCAGTAGTTTTGAAATTACTATCTTGAGCAAAAGGCAAACCTCACTGTGGCTAGTGGACACGAAAACTTTTTGGCAGTGTGAAGGTGAGGGGGGGAATCCCAGTGATTTAATGCAAAAGTGCAAGTACACATTGCAACCAGTTTCCAAAGAAATCTTTTTGTACAAATGAGTGGTAATTCCCCTACTGAACTCACCCAGCTGAAGTTGTTCGCAGGTCCGGTTAGGGTTCTCTCCAATCTTGCATCTGAAAATTGCACCGGGGTTGACCACTGAAGCGTTGGTTTGCCAGTTGGCGGTGGGGGCTCCCACCACAAGCCTAGCTCAAGGAACACATACGCAGGCGCAAAAACAGAAATGGTAAGAGATCATCCCACACATCTTTGAAGCTGGACAAAATCGGGAAGGGAAGAGCACACATCTCCACGACTCCTTAACTTTTGACTCACGAGTCAGGTTCATAAAAGGCGCTTAATAAACGCTAGTTGATTGACTGGCTCCCTTCTATGCCCAATGTACTCACTTCCTATGATGCCCAATGTGCTCACCTCCGAATTAAGCGAGGTTCTTCCACTACCACTCACTCCTCCCCCACCCCCGCCTCCGGGCGCTTCAACTTCAAGATAAGTTTGCCTCTAGGGCAAATTCATCTGAGAGATGCCCATCAACCGCCCTGGCACTGCAAGGGCGGCTGGCACTGCTTCTCCTGAGTGCTTTCCTCCTTTGAGAGAAAAAAGTTTTAAGCAGGGAGTCACTTCAAGGCGCGGGTTTTAAAGCTTCCCCGCAAATGGGAAACCCTGAAACAATTGTACTCACCATCTGTTGTCCCCATGGCTGTGCAAGACGACTGAATAGCCAAACAGGGTCCCTTTGGGTCCGTGAAAGAGCAGAGGGTTTTCCGTGTCCAAGTTGTAGGGATGGATCCTCGGGATCCGGTGGCAGAGAAGGATAATCACCGCCTTCCAGATGGCTACTCCTGGGGGGCCAGCTTCTCGACTTTCTTTCCAAGCCATGCTGTCTCTGTTCGGGACATCCAATAAGCCGCGCACAGCTCAGAAGTTGTGCGCGAATGGGCAGAGAATAGCGCCCCAAGTGCACCGAGAACGCAGCCGCGTGTCTCCAGTGCCCAGCCACCGGGCGCTGGCGGGTAGGGGTGAAGGGGTGGGAGGAGGAGGAAGTTCACAGCGGGCGGAGCGTCCTCAACGGCCGTGGTTTCCTTGGGCTCATGGATCCCCACGCCCTGTTTCTGTCAGGGACTCCCTCCTTACTCTTAGACAGGACTGGGTGGGGTCCAGGGGTGTGGTAGGGGGTTGGAGGGGTGTGAGGCCGCGAGTCCCCACTTGTCCACCGGCCCCAGGCCAGGCTGGCTGCAGAGGGCGCTAGGAGATCTCCGTAGGTCCAGATGTTCCACGCATCCAGTTGCTCCGCCTTTCTATCAGATGGGATGCCTAGACTTGGCCCAAGATCCTGGATCGGACTGGTCCCCTTTAGTCTTTCCTGGGGAACGAGAGAGGCTGAATCCAGAGGAGAATTTTGTTTTTCTTTTGCAAAGAACTTCCACTGGTTACAAAGACTGCCCAACTTTGCTGCTTTTGGAAACTCAAAGATTGGGATAGCTATTCCTCCTCTTCCAATGAATAATTCTCTAGAAATTCCTTTTCTTCAGGTGCGAGCAGCAAATTCAAAGGAAACGGGTGGGGATCGAGAAGGCGGGTTCACACAGGTACCAAAAATCGAACAGCAACGCTTCTAAAGAAGTAAGAGGAACAATGCTTGGTGTTAAAAATACACACACACGCGCACACACATGCACACACACACACACACACACACACACACACACACACACACACACACACACAGTATTGACCGTAAGCCATCTACCCCCATTTCCGTACCCCCCCCCATACTTCCCTGTTAGGCCAGTCAGTGACGGGGAACATTATGAGTGGCAAATGCTGCCTGGTGAATTCTTTAATCGAGGAGCATAGATGTCTAGACAAGTTGTCAGCATTGAACTTTCTGTCTTTCTAACTTCACAAACCTAAAAGCAGTGTCTCGTGTAGGATTGCTCTCCTACCTTTCTAAATACCATCTATCACTAAACGATAGGAACCCAGTGCAAATGCCCTGGTACTGGTCCCCAAATGGACCTCACTCACTCTTGTCTTCAGAAGAGCAGATCATATTCAGGAATTTCTCAGGAACAGGATTTTGAAATCTTCATCCACCAATGAAAAGCAACTCCAGAAATGGTGAAAGTTATTTATTTGCCCATTCTCCAGTTATTTGTCTGTTACCCTAAAATAAGATTTAAATGCAAAATCTTCACCAAAGTAAGGCAAAAGAATACTCTTCCTCAATTTGTTTATTTGGTGGTATAAGTGAAAATGGTTAGGTTGGGTGAGTAAAAATTGTCAAATTAGATAAACCTGCAAATTAGTTCTGTTTCTCTGGTGGAAGATGATGTGATAAAAACATTTGCTCTCATAAATTTGTATTTGTTTTTAACATTGAAATAAAGTCTAGGGTTGTGCTATCAAACTTAAAAAGAAAGGGTCCCACCAGTCACATATGTGTTTTATTGTGTTTCTTATTTATTTTATTAAACATTTCTCAATTACATTTTAATCTAGTTTGGGCTCTGGCTTGGGAGGCATGATGACACCTGTGGTGTGGGGAATATGTAAGAAAATTTATCCTCCAATCCTTTCTCTTTTTTTAATTGATCCAGGAAACAATCTCATTTTAGTTCTTCAATTGAAGCTATGATTCCCTAAAATTGCAAGGCTTGTCAACATCTAGCCCTTCAGCTGAGGGCATCTGCAGTAGAGAGGTGCCAGCTCTATTTTCACACCCTGAAGCTTCATACAGGCAGAGACACTATTTTGACCTCTGTATTTCTTGTTTTCCTCCCTTTTGTAAAACACCAGTGAAATAAAATCCACTTAAAACTCATCTTGCAGTATAGGTAAGACATGTATTACTTAGGTTAGTATGTTTTCCTTGAGGGGTGGTTCCCTGCTTCCTCAGAAAACAGATGGATTTAACTAGACTCAGGTGATTGGCTACCCTGTTCTGTGAATAACTTTGCTAGTCTGCTGACAGATGGGAGCAGGGTGTCTCCAAGGCCACCATCAAGATTTCATAAGCACATTCCTTTCTTCTTCCAACATTAGCTCATGAAATGGTACAGAGATTCCCCTCCCCCATCTAACCCTTTCTCCCCCAAATCAGGTTAGGTAGAGAGAGTAAATGAGAGAAGATGTGAACAATTTGAGAGTGTGGGTTCATTTTCAAATTTGACTTCTTAACATGCATTCCAGAGCCCATCCAGCAGACCCAGCAAGAAGCAGATGGCCTCTCTACTCACCTCACCTTCCCCTTTTCCCTTCCTGGCCAAACTCTGACACTCTCATTCCCAGTTCTTATGGAGAGAATCCAGAGTTGCTGGGTGGGGCCCCACTCTAGTTCTTAGGCTCTCTCTCCACTTCCCAAAGATGGTAACATCTAGAAGTCATCCTTGACCAGATCACTCTGGTTACCCTTCCCCCACCTTGCCAGACAGATAAGGTCCCTTAGATGAGCTGGAAATCATCAATTACAATACTTCCTATAAGATAGAAGACGACCACACAGTGAATAGAACGCTGGACTTAGAGTCAGGAAAACCTTAGTTAGAATTATGCCCCAGATATTTAATGACTGTGTTATGCTGGTCTAGCTACTTAATTTATCTCAGCCTCAGTTCCTTCATCTGTAAAATGTATATAATATGGGCAGCTAGGTGGCACAGTGGACAGAGATCTCACCTTGGAGTCAGGAGGACCTGAGTTCAAATGCAGCTTTAGATGATTAACACTTACTAGCTGTGTGACCTTGGGCAAGTCACTTAACCCCAATTGCCTCATCAAAAAAAAAATGGATATAATAATACTACCACCTACCTTACAGGATTGTTGTAAGGATCAAATGAGATAACTTATGTAAAGCACTTTGCAAAATTTAAAGTGCTACATAAATGCTAGTTGTTATTTTTTATTATTTATTATTATTACCATATGCCCTTCTACTACGTCCTCTGGAAATCTGTCCTGCAAATGCACTTTAAGGACTCCTAGTTCTTTACGTTGGCCGATACGTGTTGTCTCCTCCAATTAGAATGTGAGCTCCTTGAGACAAGGGAGGGGCTGGCTTTTCTATTTGTATCTCCAGCACTTAGCACAGAGCTTGGCACATTATAAGCACTTGAAAATTATTTTTACTTCATTCACTCACCTAGGAACTGCCACTGTATAATGGCACAAACTGTGCTAATAGAAGTACCAGGCCATTTAATCTTTCCAATGATTTAGAGGATAACTCAGTCTTTTCTATCTTAGCATTCCATAAGTTTAATATGGTGCCTATAAAGCTACAAGAATGGCCTCTTTTAGCCCTTATTAATGGTAGCAAGACAGAGGCAGATCTGCTGAAGTCTTCCTTTAGAAAGCTTCCCAGGAATGCATTTAGAAGCCATGCTTGTCTCACATAGTTTTAAGGGGACAAGGATTTGGCTCTGGTACAATGAGATATTTGAGTTCTTTCCCAAGTAATTTCCCCTACTCATTGTGGTTTTGGGATTCCTTATTATTACAGTCAGAGAGCTGAAAGAAGACTCATTAGCTACCAAACAGTGCTAGCGCTCATTTCTGCATATTTGCTTATATTTGTTAGGGTCACTCATCCTTTCAACAAACATTTGCTGTAATTGTTGCTGTGGGTGGGTTACAAAGACATGTAAGATTGTTCATTCACTTGAGGAGCTTGCCTTCAGAGAGAAGATCATTAAGATCATAGGAGGTAGAGTTGGAAGGGAGCTGTGAGGTCATCTAGTCAGGCCCCTCAGGAGGAATAAATGGAGAGAGCATGGAAGACAGAAGAAATAGGTAGGAAAAAAACAAGGTGATACAGTGTCATGGGAGTCAAAAGAGGATTTTCGAAAAGGATGGAGAGGTCACATGCTGAAGAGAGATCAAAGAGGGCGAGAAAGCATTTTGAAGGACATTTAGAATCTTTAAATATTTTTAGTGGGACAAAGAGTGGAGAGTCAGTCTTTAAGAGGTTAAGAAATCAGTGAGTGTCCAAGAAATGGAGATGATATGTATTGTCTAATAATTCAAGAAGTCTTGTGATGATACTAGCTCAAGAGGTTAACAGACTCAAAGAAAGCTTATTTTTGTTTTGGTTTGCTTTGCATTGTGGTATAGGGGCTGTCCAAGCATTGATATAGAAGATGCACAAGAGAAAGGGGTTTAGTGAGGGACCAACATCCTAGGGAAGGCAAGATAAGTCAGGTTCAGAGCAAAAGTAAAGAGGCTAGCCTTGAAATGATCAGGTGCACAAGCATACCCACATCCACACACACCCCTTTTCTTCTAAAACACGGGGGAATGAGGAGAAGATGGGCAAAGATACAAAGGAAAATTAAATTGAATAGAAGGGAGTAAGAATGAGATTTTTGTTTTGTTTTATTTTTGGCTAGGCAATGGGGTTAAGTGACTTGCCCAGTGTCACACAGCTGGTAAGTGGTATGTCTCTGAGGCCAGATTTGAACTCAGTTCCTCCTGAATCCAGGGCCAGTGCTCTATCCACTGTGCCACCTAGCTGCCCCGAGATGTTTTGAAATGAAGAGAAATCAAGCTGAAGGAACTCAAACCTTGTGGCCCCGCCTTTTCAGTAAAATACCAGGTAAGAGCAACTGCTAAGAGGAGTGATGAGAAATATTTGAGACAGCTGACCTTAGCAATACTTTAATATATATATATATATATATATATATATATATATATATATACATATACATTTATATATATTATATATGGATATATATATGCAATAGGATGTCATGCAATAAGATAAAGTGATTAGATCTTCATGCCATAGCAATCTTATTTTGTTTCCTGCCCTCTTCCTCTGACCTTGCCATCTGGACTCCAGGGAAGAGACAAGAGAAACCACTGGCTAAGGAACACATAGAGCTCTGTAGACACTGCCACAAGCACTGGTCAGAAGCTATGGTACCTTGGAGATGAAATGAACAGAAGCCAAGACATCAGGGAGACGTTCACATCCTGGAGCCTAGTTGAAAGTTACTGGAGTTGAGGAACTGTGAGAGCAAGTTACTAAAGTCACCAAAGACAATAACAGGGAATAGAGTAAAGAGAAAGTCTGTGAGCCTTGGTTATGTATAAGAGCTAGGCTCTCATATCTAAGGAGGTACTTTTATTTTAATTTTCTTTTCAGATGATTTTGCATTTTGTAAGTCAAGTATAACTACTAAACTTCATTCTTTCATTCTACAAGTATCAATATTAAAATATGTATTTATTTGCATGCAATAACATTCAAATCAAAGTCTCTGGTGACTTCTGATGGCCAAGGTTCTGTGACTTTAGCAAAGAACATTCTGGAGTTGGGGGGAAGGGAAGGAGGAAGCAGGAGTGGCTCAGGCACAGTATTCTCAGAAACTTCCTCATCTCCATATG